AAATCCGTGGTTTGTGTGACAACTCGTTGTGACCATTGAATCGGCGACAGTGGGGACCAACTGGTGGTGACAATGATTGACGTGAAGTACAGCCTGTGCTCTGTTGTACTGCAATGTGCTGTGAATGAGGGCGAGCTCTGCGGCGCCAATGGTCTGCCCGTCACTCCGGCGTCCATCGCAATGATCGGTCACTTCAAGGCGTTCATCGACTCTCACCATCACTTCCACGACAATCCCTTCAATCAGTATTTGACTCAATATTTGGATTGCATTCGCAATAAGAAAGGTTTGTCTCAATCGCCGCCCAAAGCCCTGTCCCCCTCACCCGCCCTCTCAACCGCTGTTATCCCGAGTTTGACATTAGATCCGATTATCTCTTATCTAAGTCTTGATCTATGGGTGCATTGAATGTAATGTTTTGTTTGATTACCAGAGAAATTGACACTTATTTTCGAGCACTACTTGAACGCACTGCCGGTGGAGGACATGGATCTGTTGGCCACCAACTCATTGCTGGCCTTATATCACATGCACTACAATATGGGTTGTGTTCACGGATTGGTAACACCGGACGCACTGGTCTTCGACGGCCGTACAGTCAAAGTGACCCATTGGGCTATCAATGCCATCACCAATGGTGGCAAACACTGTGACGCCAATATGATTGTACCGGGTATTGCATCTGTCACTCAATTGTGTCCTCAGTATCTCATTGTTTGACCACTTTTTTACCCCTTAAGATGACACCCGATTCCTGCCGTACGAACAGCTCTATGGCATAACTGTGTGCAAGAAGTCCGATGTCTGGTCACTGGCGCTGACATTACTGGCGATTATCGAACCAAACATTAAATTATCAGACAATCCGTCGGATATTGTTTCGTGTCTTAACTCCAAAGAAGTGTTAATCAAAGTCGAGGCAAATATCACCAAATTTCCGGAGAAGTGGCAAAAGTTTTTCCTGTCAGCCCTTCAACCGAAACCGGCCGCCAGAGCCACAGTCAAAGAGTTGTTGAAAATATTAGAGATACCGGTGCCTGAAGTCGATTATCAACAGTTGAATGAGTTGTTGAGATATCCCAAACTCGACACCAATTATGGGAGCAAAGAACTCATCACAATCCACGAGATCTATCACTTGTATTGTCTGGCATTTCCCGCCACTCGAGATCAAAGTCAAGAGAAACTGCACAAAAAGCCACCGATTTTTACGTTACCGACGCTTGTCTTGAGGGACGACAAGAGCACGAGTGGAGAGACTGTTAAGCAAAAGAGTTTTCTCAAAATTCCGGCCAATAATGAGTTACAACTCCTACCCATCGATAAACTCATTGAACGCCTCAACCAATTGTCACCCCATCTGTTCTGTCCATTAATACTGACGCCCGGATTCAACGCCGTCTATAACTCACCGAACCTACCGATTGGTATCCGGGAAAACGATTTTGACTACCAGTGCGAGAGGATTATGATTTTCAGGCGTTTGATCGAAGGTTTCAATTGTTTTTGTTTAAGTTTTCATACGAAATATTAATTGAGATAATTGTGCCATTGTTTAGGCGCCCCATTCACGCGCACCCAACTGCTATCGTGCGCTAAAGTAGACATTCCCCCGCTATACCGGCCCCAGACATGGGCCCACATTCTCAACATTAAATGGTCTGATCT